GTGCCATATTTGGCTTCATAGACTCTATATAAAGCAAAAAACTGATCCTTCACATTAGTCTTATAGTTTTCTACATCATCGTCAAGAAACATGCATTGAAAGTAAATGTCAACTAACATAAATGTGTTTTCATACTTTTGCCTAGGATCTAATATGGAAGCAAAAATATAAATCAAAGGAATCTCACTATAATATTTACGCCAATTTTTTTTCCATTGCTGGAAGATACTGATCATAATCACTTTGATGGCGATGATCAGCGAAAAGTTGGGCGAGTAAGCATGCATTAGAAAGAAAGTTTTGAGCACAAGGATTGTAAACAGTAGAAAAACAATACGTCATGTTATATAATAACTGTAAAAATTGCATATATCTTTCACAGTTATTCCAATCATCATCATACAAAGCATTTTGTGGAAATTTTTGGTTGTAAAATAATGTTAACGGGCCCTTGTACTCAATTGCCTTTGTTAACATGTCATAGGTGGAATTCCACCTAGTTGGGCAATCGGTTCTAATTTTTATTACCCTTATCTTTTGTTGTTTTAGAAAACTCTTCCATTCTTGGTATCTCATGTTAGAGCTATTAATAGACATAATAGCATCTCTGATTTTGCTGTAGTATGGGCCAATTGCCCGAACTCCATCCTGTACACATAAGTTAAGTACATGGGAAACACATCTAGTATGAAGAGCTTCACCGTCTAATAGTACATCGGTTAAGTTTTGTTTGATAAGATTAGCTGTGTATGTCATAGAGGTTGCATTATCACAAGTCATAGACATCATTTTATCTCGAAGGTTGTATTCGTCTATTGCTTGCATTAAATGGTGAGCAATGTTAATGCCGGTGTGTGGGTATTCCAGCATTTTGAAATGTATTATTCTTTTTTGTAACATCCACTGATCATCTACCCAATGGCAAGTCACACATAAATAGTGATATTTATAACCACTATCCCAAGAATCGACTGTTAAAGATACTCTACAGTTAAGGTTACTCAATTCGGCTTGTAACCGGACTTTGTACTCTAGGAAATGTTTCATTGCGGCGGAACGAACGGTTTTCCTAGAGATTCTTTTATGTTGGGGTTGTAGTGCTTTGTTAATGTAGGTGTTGAATGCGTCACTTTCCGAGAAAAGAAAAGGCTGTTCGGCGTGTACTATCATTTTTCCTAGTTCATCCCTATCCCTCTCATAGTTGTATGTAAAGCTGTATGGATGGAATTGGGAAATTTTGGGCTGGGTTGGATCACTAGCTGGTTTTGCACAAGCTTTCATGTGTCTAGATAAGTGTCCCGTCCCGTTTTTGGTAACTGCCGTGAATACACTATTACATGTTTTACATTTTGCCCATTGTTCACCATCTTTACTTAGGACAAAATAACGCCATACCTCACTCCTTCGGTTTTTCAAAAGTAGCATCTCAGTTTCGGTTAACCATTCATGATGTGTGTGACGGTTAGTAGTGGGACTAGTGGGAGTGGCAGTAGAAGGGGTAGAACCGGAGGGAATTCGGGTACTTTCTTGGCTACCTTGGCTAGAACAATAGTTTTGTTGATCACCGATATAATTAGGTGGAAATTGGTATGGTGGTAGTGGAAATTGGTTTAGTGGTGGTGCTGGAAATCCCGACGTATTATATGGCTCATAGCCCGGGGGGAAGTAAATGGGGTCATTGGTTTGACTCGTAATTTGGGGGCTCGTTGTATTTGGTGGTTCCCTAGAACTACTACTACGGATAAGTCGGCCTTTCCCCCTAGACCTAGATGATGGGTTGTTCGATGCCATAATTAACAATTAATTTTTTAATAAAAAGTGGTTAACTATAATAATAATAATAATAATTAATAACAACAATTTTAACAATAAAAATATCAATAATAATAATTAATAACAACAAAAATAAATAATAACAACAATTGTAACAATAATAATAATTAATAACAACAATTATAACAACAACAATAACAATTAACAACAATAATAATTAAACAAGATTATTCTAATAATAACAATAAAACAATAATAAATTTAAGATTAGTTTAGATCTTACAACCGTGCTTCAACGCTCCACTAATTACGATTACGAACTTTTTAATTTTTTCCGATATTAGGAAAATAATTAGAGAATTTAAGAGAATAATTAGATAATTTAAGAAAATAAGGATTATTAGAGATTTAGAGAATATAAGAAATAAGAAGAAGAGATTGTGATTTTGTGATTTGGGAATGAAATGGAGGTGAGTATTTATAGAATTTTTGGGGAGCAAATTGGCAAAAAACTAGCCGTTTTTTAGGCTTATTAAGGAGTTAGAATAAACGGTAATATTACCGTTGGCCCGCACGACGGGCCAGCACGGCGGGCCATGGCCGTGCTCGTGCCGGGCCGTGCCTGGGAATTCTCAACCCTGTCCGTGGCACGGCCCGTGGCACGGGAGTTGATCTTCGTGCCGTGCCGTGCTTGAATTCGGGTCGTGCCGGGCTGCGCCGAACGGCGGGCCGTGCCGGGCGGCACGCGGGCCAACCCGGCCCGTGCCCAGGTTTACTTGCGATAGGATTTTGTATTACCCACCTAGGAAGACTTGACCAATATTCCATCCAACGAGCAATTCTTTCGGGTTTAAAGATAATATCTTTGGGGGCATCATAAGCTTGCGGGGAGAATAAATTGTCTCATCCCGTATTGTCTCATTACCCTACAAGGAAAGATATAAGTAGTACTAGATAGGCCTAAAAGTCTAATGTACGGGCAATTGAGACTATTCCCAACCATATTATTTATGTTCCACCAAGGAATCACAAAACGTATGTTAGGGACCCCATGACAGAAAAACGATGTCCATTCTTCTTCGTTCTTATGCTTATAAAGGATTCGACGTCTGGGGAATGTCTTTACTCCATTAGCCTCAAGGTTTGTGGTTGATCAACAATACGCAAGCACTCCATGAGCCAAATCTGAAAAAAAAGAAGAAAAAAAATCAGTTTGCGAATTTTTACACAAGCAGGTGGCGCGCGCAACCAAACCAGTTACGCGCACCCTCCGCGCGCAACGAAGAAGATTGTGCTGGTCATGCCAGCGCAACTTCGTGACTTGCGCTGATAAACGCCGAAAAAAAATGTACGTGTAATAGGAGTGGACTTCCCGTGAAACCGTTTTCGTTAGGATCTCCCCTAAGGCGATTCAAGCACATAACGATTTCCGCCAAAGTTGTGTTTTTTAAAAAAATTGGGTGGAAGCTAAACACCTAATTTTTTTTTTGTAATTCTAGGGGGAAAACGTTTGGATTTTTCTCCGTCCTTCCCCCAAACACCACCACTCCACCCCCTCTCTCTATCCCCACCACCACTGCGCCACTCCGACAATCCATCTCCCTATTCCCACCACTAAAACTACCCCCTCCTCTCCTGACCACCATTTCTAACCCCCCACCACTAGGCCAAAACTTCCACACACCCCAGCACCAGCTCAAACTCTCCACTCCACTCTTCACCGGTCCATCGGTTCCCGATTTCACCCCCACTCTTCACCGGCCCTTGAAACCCCCACCCGCCCCTCCATGAGCCCCATAACCTGCACCCCACCCCTCCATGAGCCTCAAAACCTAACCCAACATCCTCTATTTATCAAAACTAAGGGCGGAACCAATTGGGGGGGGGGTGGGTGGGTGGGCCTTGGCCTTCCCCTTGGTTTTTGTTATCTAACAAATGTTGCAGTAATTTATGTTAGTTGTAACACAGATGAGTTGGTTTTAGGTGAGAATATAGAGATCTTTGTAATTTTTAGCTCCAAGCTCAAACCTTCTCCCTCACATTTTTTTTAGTCTCATTCTTTTTTAATATTTCAACATACCTCATACTATTTTATATGAGACCTATTAGTACATATATTACACTTGGCCCCTCTTATAAAAAAATTCTGGTTTCGCCTTTGAATTCAAAACCCCTTCAAACGGAGTTGGGGTGGGGTGGGGTAGGGTGGGAATTGGGGGAAAGTGGGTCGTGGTAGGGGTGTGCGAGAAGGTAATTTGGGGGTGGGGGAGGTGGGATGATTACCGTGGTTGGTGAGGGAGGGGGCTGTGAGGTTTATATATAAAAACAATACATTGAAAACCTAATTAAGTATTTAAACTAATTACATGACGACATGTTTCATGCTTCGAAGTTCCACTTAAAACTACTTGTCCAAGTTAGCAGCACACCTTAATTGTGGCCAAGGATCTCTGAGAATTGGGAGGGAAACTCTAACCACTTAAGCTATCCATCACTCTCATAAGTTCCAGTAATACATAAGTATCTAGTACTCCGTATTACCATAGCATAAAGTCCGGAACCAAGCTAAAATTGATCTAGTGAGAAAGCTAGATTACACCTTTTAACCTTGAGATTAAGAGTTCAATCAATCACCATTAAGAACAATTTGAGGGTGTGAATACCTTATCCTCCCTCCCCCTTTTCAAAATATACAACCCGCATATATAAGGTCGGACCAAAAAAATTGTGTTCATCTTTTTATCTAGGAAAATTTGCAAATTACAGCCATTTAAAGTTCGTATTTTGCAAATTGCAGCCATTTATAAAAAAAAAATTGCAAATTACAGCCTAAAAGTTCATATTGCAGCCCGATTCAACTTTTTCATCGGTTTACAAGTTGAAAAATCTTTGATTAAGGTTTTAGTGGCCATTTTAGTCCTTAAAGATCCGAATTGAGCACGGAATTAGCAAAAAAATAACGCAAGTATCTCGTTTTGCGTAATAAAAGTGTATCGATTTGTGGGAAACTGTAAATATGAGACACTTACGTTATTTTTTCGCTAATTTCGAGCTCAATTCGAAACCCTAAGGGCTTAAATGACCCCTAAAACCTTAACCGAAGAATTTTCAATATGTAAACCAATGAAAAAATTAAATCGGGCTGCAATTTATAATTTATACGAATTTTTGGGCTGCAATTTGCAAAAAAAAATTTTAAAATGACTGCAATTTGCAAAATACGAACTTTAAATAACTGCAATTTGCAAATTTTCCTTTTATCTATAGAAAAATATCTTTAAAATCCAAAAGTTTTGTCATTCACTATAAATTAAACCTTATACACGCCATTCTTCATCTACATTCTACACCTATCATCTATGGCACCGTCGTCACATTCCAACCCCATCCTACTTCTCATTTTTATCATCCAATTTTTCCATTTCATTTCAACTCACCCCCTTAATTCTCTTTCCCCTTCCGAAATCAACCAAGTTCGTGCCACAATTTTGAAAAAAATACCCTCTACACACTCACACCTTATCCATCCACCACGTGGGCTTAGATGATCCACCCAAGCCCATGACCGAATCATGGATCACAACTACATCCGAAAATCCAAACCCAATCCGAAATCCAAATCCAACAAGAACCGCTTACATAGTGGTTCGTGTTAACAAGACCACCCATGAAATTACCATGGACATAACAAACCCGTTAAAAAACACTCCAAAAATATTAACCGATGACATTTACCACGGTCATGGATATCCAATGTTGACGGTCCAAGAGCAAGAAGTAGCAAACAACCTAGCACAAACGTACCCTCCATTCGTGGCATCGGTTAACAAAAGAGGACTTGACATACACGACCTTGTATGCTTAAGTTTTACTGTAGGGTGGTTCGGAGAAAAAAAGAAACAAGGGAGAATAGTTAAGATTATGTGTTATAGTATGAAAGGTACCGTGAATTTTTACATGAGACCGATTGAGGGATTATTCGTGATTGTCGATTTGGATGATATGAAGGTCATAGATTTCAAAGATAGAGAGATTGTACCATTGCCGAAATCGGAAGGGACAGATTATAGGGATACCATGCAACCTAGTCCTTCGTATGGTCGTATACCAACAAAAGGTGTGACAATGATACAACCAAATGGGCCAAGTTTTAAAATTGATGGTCACATTGTGAGGTAATGTAGTCCATGCAATAATGCTCTTACCTTTATAATTATTGCACTTATTTTCAAATGTGTGATTGTTATGTTTGTTATAAAGTGATTTTGTGAGGTTTATCTTCAATTGAAGTGCAATTGTGGCTTCATTTATGCATATAGTCATATATACTATATAGTCATATACATACCCTTTTGTGGTTGAGGGGTAGGTGTTCAATTGGTAGCCAACGGGAGTGAGTTGAGTTGTCTATCTTTTTATTTTTTATTTTTTTTTGAATCAGATTATAACAATCAGTTACTATACCAGCTAATTACCAAATAGGGCGTAAGAACTTGATCGAATTGGAAGCATGCAAACCGTTTCCAAAATTCTAAAATAATATGAAGTACTATGGGATTGATTTAATTCTTTTAGATTTTTTTTTTTTAAATTTAGTAATTACAGGTCAGACACTTTGAGAGTGAGGAGGGAAGGGTAAAGGATCCCTATTCCCTACCCTCAAAGTATCTCAAGTGGAAAGATGAGATCTTTCCCACTAAATTAAACTTAGTTTGGTAATTTTTATTAATTTAGTATTGGGTTTTTAACTCTTATACTGTCAAACGCGGGTCTGGGCCGCACCCGCAAACTAAGAGAGAGAGTCTACTTCACAAGTCCAAGGAGTTTCCATCCCAAAACCATATGGCGATAGGAGGAGTAGCCCCTTAGCCTTATAAAGTGTTTAACTCTCTCTTCTTCAACCAATGTGGAACACTTATATGTGGTGACACTTGAGAGGTTTATTCTTCAACACTCCCCCTCACATGTATTGATATTGATATTGATATTGATATTGAATTATTGATATTACAATCTTCAAAAACTAGATTGAAACATACACTAGAGTAGATGTACACTTTGTAATAATCGTAAGCACCAATCCTTACATTGTGTAAAAAAAAAAAAAAAAAAGAAAGAAATGTTTAAGTAGAGTGGTTTTGTTTTTTTATTAACTAATAGATATAAATAATTTCCCTATCGAACCGAAACCTCTCACATGATGTCAATTTGATCGAGGTTACAAGCTAGAGAGTTGAGGAGAAGAGTAAGGGAAACCATAATCCCTACCTTAAAGTATTTCTAATAGATAAAGTTGGAGGTTCAAAGTAGAGTGATAGAGTGATGTAGTGTATATAACACAAACTTTAAAATAGATCAAATTTATAATACATATTGTACAATTTTTACTCATATAAAATGAAATATATTGATAATTTTTTTATATAAAAAAAACGTAAAACAAAGGTACTTATATATTAATGATTTAAAAGGTTACTTTTGTCCACTTGAGTTTGAATCCTCAAACTAATTAAATGAAAATTTCAATTGGTGTTGTATGGACCCGGTCTACAATAAATCATTGTAGACCCACAATTTGACACTTTCAAATAATATTATCACATTCTGGATAATTATAATTATCTTTTTGCGAGTCATATTTTGAATTATATAATCTCATATTAAACCATTTAATGAGATTATATAATTATGTTTAGGATGATAAAATTTAAAAATCATCTTTTGAATGATGCAATTTACTATTTGATACATTTTATAATGATAATTCACTTTTTGAGTGATACATTTATATAACAGTTTCAGGATGATAAAATCATTTTTGTAGTAATATAATCACATTTCGTGTGATATAATAATATTCGTATGGTATACTAGAAGGTTGGGTCTACAATAAATTATTGTAAACCGGGTCTATTCTAGTCTTTACCATATTTTCAATATAAAAGGGAATTAAAAATTTTCGATATTTTCATGGGTGATAATGGATAGTAACCTTTTATTTGGCATGCATGAGAGTTCATCATATTTGGAGGTTTTATGACATACAATATTTCCCAATTGCTTTAGGGGTCATGCAAGCCCCTTATTAATTAGGGGATGTTTGGTTCAAGCATATTAGGTATAAGGTATGGGCCGGGTTTAGAATGACCAAAACTCATACCTTGTGTTTGTTTCTAGAAATTCAAACAGGGTCGTCTCCGACAATTTAGTGGCCTTGTTCTAACTGTCAAAATTGGACCCTTCAATTTTTAGAGGACAATTTTAAAAGGTTAAAAATATTGTTGTTATAAAATGACATTTTTTTAAAGTACAATACTACAAATTATTATAGAGCTAAAATATTCATATATATTACTATTTTTAATAGTAATTGAATAAAACAACAAACAAAATTTTTTATTTAAAAAGTATCATCCTTCTAATATTTTTTGAAGCAAAATGCTCAATTATATTTTCATAATCAATTTAATTTTGTTTTGAAAATTAAAAAGCAAAGTCAAAGATTAAAGATGAATATTAGGTTTTAGTTTGAAAAATGGTGGTCTTTAGAAAAAGGTGAATATGCATGTAAGGTTATGATTTTTTTTTTTAAATTATGGGCCCCTGATTTTTAGGGGCCCTATTTCGTATGTGAGAGAAAACATGTCTAAAGACAGGCCTAAATTCAAACCCATATCTTAAACGCTCAAGGTAATGGGCTCTTGAAACCCAATTAAGGTGGGGGGTGGGTATGCCTCATATCCATAGCTTTAGGTTTAAAATTAAAAGAAAAACTATCATTCCTAGATAAAAAACCAAACATATGAAATCAAGTATCAAGTTCTAATCCCATACCACCGAGGTTTCATTTTTCATTCCAAACTCATACCATTTGTTTTAACCAAACGCCCTCTAAATGACATGTCATTGCCTCAAATCAAATTAGGTTAACTATTATCTTAGATTGGTGAAAAGTTACAATATCATATAATTGATCGAGTGTATCTAAAAGTTTTGAAAAAATAATTATTAAAAATTTATAACAAGGTTGGGTGAAATGCTATAAGAAAAAAAAAAATGTTGCAAGTAAATGAGAAAAAAGTACTCCATACAATTTAAATAAAATTGTATAAAGTGGACCATTTCTCTAAAATAAAAAATGATGACGTGTAACAATTAATTTGTAATAACGAAATTAAAAATTTGTAACGAATAATTGATTACACAAACAAACCACAACCAATAAAGACTGCAACTCTGCAAGTCACTAATGAGATTTTGGCTTAAAGGTTATGATAAAAGGTCCGTGTACAATAGCTTACATTACATATTCAAAAATTTTCACCCTCAATAGTACCAAATAATGTACTACAAGTATTATACTAGTATTATTTTAGTGGCTCATTTGAAAAAAAAAAAAAAAAAAAAAGGAAAGTTTACCCAGCAAAAGCGCTACAATAACATAATAATACCAAAGTCTTGAATTCAATATACATGCAGAGATAGGGAAATAGAGAACAAGGACATTGTGTTATGGTACACAATGGGTATCCATCATGTTACAAGCCAGGAAGATTTCCCACTTATGCCAACAGTTAGCATTGGATTTGAGCTTCGTCCAGCCAATTTTTTCGAGACTAATCCTGTTCTTTCGGCTAAGTTACCTAAAGATATTAGGATGATTAATTGCTCAATGAAGATGAACCATTCTTATTAATACGGATATTTCTAATTTTCAAACAAGTTGAGGGCAATCGAATTTGTATGGCAGTTATTGGCCTGGTTAGCCTTTTAATGAACTTATCTCGATTTATAAATTAATGCTTTTTTGAATGTACAATATGAAACTTATTACTGTAATAGTTTAGCTATTCGAAAAAACTAATAAAGTGTTCTTTTGCACTAACCGAATAAAATTCATGTGAATGAAATTTGAAGTTCTAAAAGTGAAAGAGAACGAATTGAAGTCTCAATCATGTTTTTCATTAAACATGCATGCATCACAAAGGAATGCCAAGTCAAGTTATTGAATCATAGTAGAGCTAAGTAGCAATAGCTACCACTATCTATAAAGTTTCATTGAGGGGATAAAAATACAATCTTACCACAAACAAATACCAAAGAGGGGTTCATGCCATCTTTTCAAGCCATTTACTATTGAACCAATAAGGCTACTCAATGTAGATCAAAGCCATATAATTTATTTGTCTTCATAACTAACAACTTGTTGACAGTTAATAATTATTCACACAGCTAACATCCACAACCACATCTAATGTACTTCTATAGCTTCATTTTGCCAAACTGGAAGTAATAGTGATTGGTTTTCAATTTTTTGTTAGAAAAGTCACAATTTTTTGCAAATTTTCTTTTTTGTTGTTACTTGTTCCTTCCCCTCCCCTTCTATATCCTCTGACCTTTTCAGTTGTAAATTTGGTAGCTTAATGTTTTGAATACAAAAGTAGATTTTTTGAAAGAATACATCAAGACGTATAAATTTAACACGATATTATATGACTATATTTTCTTTGATATACAAATTACAAAATATGGTCAGAGAAATAAGTGTGTTTCAAACAATTGCAATTAAATGAGAACAGAGGAAATACATAGAGAAACATCCCCGGCCAAATAGCCTGCTTAGGCAACGCTTATTTCTTTTTGGGCATGGATCCTATGAACATATTACACTCGGATCTGAAAAGGAAACTGTCATACTGGAGGCTTCTTCCTAGCTAGAATATCTTGGAGGCAAAGCTACTGACAGTGAGGAAAACCAAATCTTTTTCCGAAGCTTTCTTTATAGAATAATTACTTTTGGATAACTTGTTATTCCTTTTTCATTATTCATTATTTTTAAAGAGTAAATATAAAATGTGGGTACTAAACTTTGGTCAAAGTTGCAGATTGGGTACTCAATTTTGCTTTGTTGCAAGTTGGGTACTAAACTTGGGCACTGCCTGAATTTTGACCTTTAACAACAGGTTAATAAGCATTAATGAGTTTTTTTTTTTTTTTTTTTTTTTTTTTTTTTTTTTTTTTTTTTTTTTTTTATAAAAAAAGAAAACCTTCAATTAAATTAATTAACCAAAAAAATTCATCTTTCCCATATTTTCTCTCTCCCAACCTCTTTTAGCTCCCGTTTGAAAAAAAAAAAAAAACCTCTTTTAGCTCTTCTTTCTTTCTCTCAAGTCTCAACCTTTAAGAAATTAATTCAAGGTGGGTTTCGTCGGATTTGTGGGGTTTTCGTAGTAGTTTCCGTCGAATTTGTGGGGGGTTTCGTGGCTTGGGTTTTGTAAGGTTGGTTGGAATTACGAGGACATTTTCGCGAGGGTGTTAGCCTAGGTTTCGTGAGGGTGGTGGCCTGGGTTTGAGATGGTGGTCGGATTTTTTAGGGCTTTCATGGGGGTGGTTGAATTCGTGGGTTTTTCATGAGGGTGATTGGATCTGTGGGCGTGGGTCTCATGGAGGTGGAAATTTCATGGGAGTGTGGATGCAGTGGTGGTAGCAAGGCGGTGTGGGTGCCTAGGTGGTTGTGCGATGGTGGGTTGGGTGGTGGTCAGATTTTTCTAGCAATTTTCTGCTTAATTTAATTGTTTTTTTACTGTGAAGGATGGTTTTTTTTTGTTATGTTTCAAAAAAAAAAAAAAGGATGGCTTTGTTATGAATTATTGTTTAGTTTAGTTACTATGAATTGTTGTTTTATTATTAATTATTGTTTAGTTGCATGTTGGATATTCATGTGCTTGTGACTGTTGTAGATGATGAATTTGACAACTTTGATATGGATTTTGTTTAGTTTGATTATATTTTTGATTCTAGATCAGAGATCATCATTATGTTTAATTTGTTGTACTGATTTTAGGAGAATTTGGTCAAATGGTGATATGGGTTATTAGTTGTTGAATTCGAATGTTCAATTATCAATAAATTACAGCTAAAATGTAGTTTAATGTGTAAGTTCCACTAAATTGATTATTATATATGTAATAATAATAAAAAAATATATATTTGCTTGCAAATTACCTGTTGTAGCAAGTTACTCGCCGGAAAAGTAAACTTAGGCAGGTAAGAGTACCCAATTTGCCACAAGCCAAAGTTGAGTACCCAATCTGCAACTTTGGCCAAAGTTTAGTACCCACTTTTTATATTTACTCTTATTTGTAGTCTGATGATTTATGTATGAATTAACTTGTTTAATGAACAATTTGTAGGAATCTACAGTTTCCCACCTTTTTTTTTCTACACCCCAAAATTGGTATGACAGCTTAACTTAACACATTATTAGAAGCAAAGAACATTTTATATACTAAACTATATACTAACTTAAATTCAACTAAAATAATCCAAATATCTTCTCTTTAAATAATTACTCTCTAAAACCCATCTCTCCCAAATATTTGGAACCCACAATTAATAAAAATTAAGATTAAATATTAACATTTCCAAGTTTAGATGTCTTGAGTTACATACAAGAAATCAAAAAGCAAAAGTTTATATTAGAAAGAAGAAAAGAAGGATAAATTGGATTGTTTACAGAATCTTCAAAGTAGTACATACTAAATGTTAATTCTAACACCAAAAATGAAGCAATCTAAGTCCATTTTCTGATCCTATATAAAAAGAAACAGCTACAAACTGATATAATCATCATAACAAACCCCTCGATTTCGAGCACATTGCATTCGTACCTCACCCCCTTAAACCTCGAAAAATATGGCTGTTCCACAAGGTACTACAACTAAAAAAAGAAGTCCAATTACACTATGTGCCATATGTTGTCTAGCATTGATCGTGATCGTGGGGCTTGCAATCCTCATAACTTGGCTAGCCATTAAGCCGAAGAAGATTCAGTACTCTATCGATGAAGGCTGGATCAGGGACTACAACTTGAACAACAGTCGTCTAACATCCACATTCAATTTTGTCATAAGGACATATAATCCCAACAATAAGGCCAAGATATACTATGACAGAATGGATGTCACAGTGTACTATCGAGGCCAGAATGTGTCCTACGATGATATGGACCCTTTTCGACAACCTAAGAAGAATGTCACCAGGCTCATGTATCAGAAAAATACTAAGGATGTTGTACTGTCATCAGATTCTGCTCAGCATCTGAAACTCGAGAGGACTGGTGGACAGGTTGATCTTGATGTAAAGATCAACGCGAAGATTAGGTTCAAGGTAGGAGTGTTCAAAACTCGACATTATAAATTAAAGGTATTATGCTCCCCTGTGGTTGTTAACTTCTCGAATGATAAGAGGTTTCAGAAGACAGACTGCGATGTCGACTACTGATATATATATATTTATTCTGCACTGATTAGTTTGATGTCATATATACATTGGTTTTTTTTTTTTTTTTCTTTGTTTTCGTTTGTTTTTTTTTTTTTTTATTGATTGTATTCTTCGATTCATTGGCACTCACTAGTTTTATGTGTTTTTGTTGTTTCTTTTCTGATTTGAATATTTCTTCTTGTTTTCTAAGAGAAATGAGCTGGGGATTGTACTGATGAACATCATTTTGCTGTTTGTGTAAAAATTTATGTTTAATGAAATTGTTCAAATGTTTAAAAGCTTTAATATATTTGTGTATACTTCCTTCGTTTCAATTTATTTGTCCCGTCCTCCCTTAGCAAATGTTTGATGAGGAAATTAAGGATGTTAAACACAAACTGCATTAAACAAATAATAATAAGGAAATTTTGTCAATAACTACCAATTAAATCACGTGTTTTGAAAACAACTACCTATTAAAAAAGTTTTTTAAAAGAACTACCATAAAGTTGTAAAAAGTTTAAGTAACACTACCACTCTAACAATTTTGACTAGAATCTATGGTATTTGAGTCTCATTTTTTTTATCATTTTTTACCTTTATAAAGGGTAATTTAGTCAATTTAGATGATGATTTTATGAGGTAAAAGTAAAAAGTGGAACCTACATGCCAAATATTCTACTTGGAATTATCAGAGTAGTAGTGCTACTTAAAATTTTAATAGGTAGTTGTTTTCAATACACGCACTTTAATTGATAGTTCTTGACAAAATTTCCTAATAATAATAATAATAATAAAAAATCCCAATTTGTTCATCTTTTCGGTGTTTAAGTGCTTTATGTATTAAACTGTACTTACCTTATCCGCTTATCGAATCTTCTCTTTAAATCGCTAAGTCATGAGATATTGGTCAAGTAAAAAAATGAACCAACTACAAATTTTACAATCAATTGCAAAAATGCCAATTGTTTGAGGTTATTGCTTTCTTGTTACCATCGTTGACACAATTGCACTACTACTCTGCACCTTAACATGAACTCTAACCATTTAACCCGAAAACCGAAATTGGACAAGATGAATGGTACAAGGTATAACAAGAAGTGTAATCTACATCCTTGGATGCTTAAAATAACGGTTAAAACTTAGATCTCTTAACGATGCAAAGTTTTAAGAAAATGATGATTAACAAACAAGCTTCTTTCCTCTGTTTCCAAGTAAAAGCATTTTAGCTAACAAGTGGTATGCAAAGCAGTAAAAGCAATTGACATATTCTTTTCGTGTTGTTATAAGTTTGTTGTAGCATCTAAAAATGCTAGGGAGGAGGATTGCTAGGCCACATCTCAAATGTGTAATATGTTGTATTAACAAGAAATTTCAAAGGACCTACCTCTAATTGAATTATAGAAGAATTGCCTCTTTTTTATGTTAGGTTGGTCCATTTAGTGGTAAGGAACACACTTATAGAGTAGTTTTCTTCTTTGCCTGGTCTCGAGTTCGAATCTCATCAAAGTCATCACCCTTGGCCTACATAAACTGTATGTAGATCGGCAAATTTTAGTAAAATTAAGAAATTAGATGGGACCAAGTTCAAACTTGAAAGTTTTTCTTCTAAAGGTCTAATGGCAAGCTTATTGTCAAATTAGTTTGTCATGTCACATAAGCTTTTAAGCTAATTGTCATTTTAGCTCTAATGGTTAGCTAATAGTTTACCATTTAAATGGACCACACCTCCTTAATCTACATTGATAAATTTTATTTTATTTATTCTAATTTGTTTTACTTTAACAATTTTTTTTTCCAAGCACCAAATTTATTGCATTTTCTAATTCCAATGGTTAACCTAGTAGCTATGAATTATTTAATATTGCAAGCAAGTCCTTAGGTATAATCATTGGAGTTGCTCTAACATTATTTTAGACAATGAAACACCCATTTTTTTTTTTTAGTTTTAATTTTTATAAAAAAAGTACTTTAGACAAGACGATCTTTGTATTAAAGGAATTTCAAAATCTATTTTAACTTCATATCCTAAAATGTATTCTTAATCCTTAACGTTATTGAAATGGTGAGCAATTCTAGTCTAGCAAGGTTTTAACTTTGGTGGTCCCAACCAAGTTACGACTTAATGCCTTAAGCTTGGAAGATGCCCCAAGGCCCAAGGGCAAGAGAGTCTCATTCCCATGCCCAAATTCTAAATTTGTAACAGTATCCTTAATCCGATTCCATGATTTTAAGGTAATTCAAATCAACCAATTATTACTATGTTATATTTAACGTAAAACATTTTCAATGTTTAGAATTTATAGAAAACATATTGAAGAAAAATTAAATCACAGTTACAAAATAATTTTCCTTTGTTTGGTTTTTATAAGGAAAGTTAAAGTGAAATTAGATACAAAGTACATAGTATCTAGAAGTGAAAATATGGAGATGGAAGGAAGAATGTTAAAAGGAGATAAAGAGAAGGGAGTAAACATGCGATTTTCCTTGTTTTCTAAAAGAAAATGTTTTCCTCCCTTATGGATACAATTTTTTAGTCGGCCTTTCACCAACCAAACAAACAAAGGAAAGTGAAAAATAATCGGAAAATTCATGAAAACATTTTACATCAAACTAAATGAGGCCTAGATTTGATAAAGTAATTAACTTATTGCTAATTTTGATGAAGCCGATTTCATAATATATACTATATTATCAAGAGGGAAGATAGACAAGATCAATTAATTAAGAAGATAGTCGTGGTCGTCAACTAACTACACCATCTTAGTTGGACAAAAGATTTTTTAGGCCATTAACTATATCTTAGCAATGTATTAATATCATTTATGTATAATGCATTATATCAAATAGTAAATCCAAGATTAATACAACCCTCAACATGAATTCTACCAAACTCCCACTAATTAACAAAGTAGATGATGTTAAAAACAAGAAATGTTGTTCATGCACTTCAATATTATCTTTTACCATTCTTCTCATCACTAGTCTAGCCATTCTCTTTTGGGTGATCCTCCTACCAAAGAGTCCAATCATCACCGTGAAAGAAGCATCGATCGACGGGTACTCATTGACCGGCCACAACCACCTCAACGCGGCCTTCAATTTCATGCTACGAGTCCATAACCCTAACACTAAGCTATCTTTATTCTATGATCACCTTGAGTTTAAGGCATATCATGGTGGTCAACTCGTGGCGTATGATGGTGTAGAACCCTTTCAACAGCCTAATGAGAGTTTGAATTTGTTGAATTTTCGGGGTGTTGCCATTGATATGCCCCTTTTTGAGTCCCCGGGGGAGGTTGACCTCATCTTGGAGTTGAAAGGGAGGTTGTGGTTCAAGGTTGGTTCTTTGACTTTGTACCGGTATAAGTTTAAGGTTATGTGCTTTCCTGTGGTGGTGCATTTGGATCCAATTGGAGGATTGGAGACGAGTAGCTGCTATATTATGCTTGAATAATCGAAAACGATTAAGAAGTTTTGTGCAATTCTCATTCTAGGAGTATTGTGTTTGTTTTTGGTTCATATCTAACGTACACAATTACACAATGCCTTCAAATTTCAAATTTCATTATTTTTGTAGAGTTTATCTAGTCTGATTTATGCTCCATTCTTTTTGTAATAGAGTATAATATAACCATTAGAATCCAATTTTCTTTTTGACTTATTTTTCATTATTTTGTTTCACTATAGTTGTCGAGTCGAGTTACTTTTAGTTTAGTTCAATTAATTATTTTTTTTGACGGGATTTAGTTCCATTAATTAAGTATACAACCCAATTCGATTTAATCTATCGCGCCAAAATACTCATTGTTTTCACATGGACTACTTATGAAATCACTCATAATCGATCAAGTTATCTGACACATTCAATTTAATTCTAATAAGTTTCATAATTAAATTTGGTATTATCGGCTCTAGTGTACTCAATCTTTAATGAAAATGTAACAAGTTATAAAAAAAACCACGAAATCACAATTAAGTAATGGAGTCAAATGTAAATTAGTACTTGAGTTGTCTTTTATAATAATTAAAACTAAACATAGAGCCAATTGCCTGAATATTTCAACATCACCTTAACTCCTTCGTTCTAGCTATAGCCTATGTTAATTGTATTCAGTTATCTTTATTACTCGTATATACTAACATGAGTGGCTTGTTGGATTATATAAGATGATTATCAATTCGTTGTTATTAATAATTTATTTTTTATTATTGTCAATAATTTGAGTGTATATACTACGTATATAAGTTTGGTGGTGCATAAATGCAACGAAGCCATTACATCCCGCCAAGGCGCCAATACCAACAAACTGCTCTCTCATTTGATAAGGTTTATACCTTATTTCCTAGAGGATTTGGATTTAAATCCTAACAAGTGAGGGTACTTGAGGGGTAGTGTTAGAGATATGGGATATCGGAAAATATATGTGTGATATATTTTCCTTAGATATTCTTAAGAGAATAATATATTTAGGTTTATTTTATGTTAAGATATATTTAGAGAATATATCTTTAGGGTTTATGATTATGGTAGTATATCTTTTAGGAATATTGTTTCCTATCTTGTGTTCGTAGGTATTGTATAAATACTCTACCTATTGATGAATAATGATCAAGCAAAGTTATTCTCTCTATTAGCAGGTAGGAATTCCCTTAGCCTCTCATCTATTCCTAAGTGTCTTACTCGCAAATATTAGGAAAAAAAAAACCCTTAAAATGACAACAAAGCGTACAAATTATAATCTAGACCAAGTTAAGACTTTGTTAACCTTCCTGTCAACTCTCATAAGCTAGGATTCGTAGAAAGAAATACAAGTGTGTTAGAAATGATCCGGAATTTTGCTTCGGACATCAACACTGCATCCTACGCTACGAAAGCTATTGTTGTTATTACTACTTTTAATATCATTGTTATTAACACTAGAAAAACCAACATAAGCAGAAGATGTTACATTAGCAATGACATGTTTACAATATACCTCTAAATTATCTGTACCAATAGACGCCGTTATAGACACATCGAAATCAAGGTATCCAACACCACTCTCAACCCGAAAATCAAATGCAGTTGATTCTTTCAGTAAAATGTTAAGAGCTACAACTTCAGACCTTAACACGGTCATATTCCTTGTAATTTGAGTGAAGCTATCAAAGGTGTCCACGGCTAGTTTCTGCTTGTTTTTAAATATCGAAACCCGGCCATTATAGTAAGCTTGATTTGGCTTTTGCTTGTGTCTTTGGTTATTTGCTCGGATCACAACGTTGAAAAATGAGGTCAGATGATCCTCCGATGTTAAATTGAAGCCGGTGACGGAGGCGT